CCACGACACGGGCAACAAGGACCCCCCCGAGCGGATCCAGCCGAACAAGGTCTTCGTCGTGGAGGGGCTCACTCCCGATCTACGGCGAGAAGGCCCGCGCCAACCTCGACCTGGCGCTCTACATCGACATCGTCAACGACGTCAAGTTTGCCTGGAAGATCCAGCGCGATGTGGCCGAGCGCGGCTGGACCGAGGAGCAGGTCAGGGAGGACATCGAGAAGAGGCTGCCCGACTTCGCTCAGTACGTGGACCCGCAGAAGAAGGACGCCGACGTGGTCCTTCGCTACGAGCCCTCCGACCAGGGCTTGCCCTATCTCAAGGTCAAGCTCATCCAGAAGAAGGGCGGCGCTTTCCCGGCGATCTCGCTCAAGAAGGAGCTGACCCTCACTGGAAGCAAGCCTGGCGCCATCGTCAAGCAGTACGATGACGACTGGTATGGCAGCCCAGTTAGCGTGATCGAGATGGACGGAGAGATCGACATGGACAACATGGCGGAGCAGGTTGCCGAAATCGAGGCCAACCTCGAGGGCCTGAACGGCCGCAGTCCCAGCGAGCTCACGGACGCCATGGTCAAGCTCAAGGACAGCCCCGGCTCGCAGAACGGCACCGGGCTTCTGCAGGCCATCATCGCCATGAAGATCCGCGAGGTCTACGATAAGCTCACTGCGCTGACTCCAGCATAGGAGGGTGAGCCGGCGTCGTGGCCTGGCCCTGAAGCATCCGCGGTGAAGAAAGGGGGTCCTGAGGTAACGTCGTCCTCACCACAACCACCTTCGTGATCAACACGATCATCATCATCATCATCATCATCATCATCATCATCATCATCATCATCATCATCATCATCATCATCATCATCATCATCATCATCATCATCATCATCATCATTATTATGATTATTATTATTATTATTATCATTATTATTATTACTATTATTATTATCATCATCATCAGCATCATCATCATCATCATCATCATCATCATCATCATCATCATCATCATCATCATCATCATCATCATCATCAGCATCATCTTCAGCATCATTATCATCATCATCATCAGCATCAGCATCAGCATCAGCATCAGCATCAGCATCATCATCATCATCGTCATCATCATCGGTCCGGGATCCGTTTCCGGAAGGTTAGCCACGCGCAGAGGGGGGTGGGGGGAGGAGGAGGGCTTCTTAGAAGCACCCCTGCTTCTTAGAAAGCGCGGGCCTTATCTATAGATGTAAGGCCGGCGCCTTCTAAGAAGCAGCCTCCTTCTAAGAAGCCCTCCCCCCTCCCTCCACCCCTTTGTGGGCGCCAAAAGGACCCCTTATCTTCATCTCCGACGGCTTGCCGTATTTTAGTAGCATTTTTCTGGCACTGGCAGTGAGCCAGCATCCAGGCCCGTCTCCTCATGGCGGCAGGCGCACAAGATCCTCCTCTTCTTCCTCGGGGGGCTCCGACTGTGCACATCTGTACATTTGCATCCATCCTGGGCCTGGGATGAGACTGGCTAGGATCGGTGCAGGTGTATAGTATGCGTCCTCTCCGCCCCCTCCTCCTCTTCCTCCTCCTTCTCCTTCTTCTCCTTCTCCTCCTCTTTCCCTCCTTACAATCGACCACTTCAATAACGTATCCTCCGTCGGATCCTGCCAGGACTTCGAGGCGGATCCGACCTGAGCTACGAGACCCCTTCCCGCCCCCTCGGGAGTCCGAGAAATGCACAAAGCATCCAGCTTCCCCCCCCCTTCCTCCCCCCCCTCCCCTCCTCCCCCCCCCCCCCCCCCCCTCCTCCGCCCCCTCCTCCGCCACTCCTCCCCCCTCCCCCACGGATGCGTGCGAGTCTGTCCAACAATCCCCTCCTCGTCCCACTTTTCCTCCTGCTCCTCCTCGTTCTCCTCCTCACTCTGCACTGTCCTCCTCCTCCTCCTCCTCCTCCTCCTCCTCCTCCTCCTCCTCCTCCCCATCCTCCCCATGCTCCTCCTGCTCCTTCTCCGTAGCCATTTTGGCTCAGGACTTTCCGTAGGCCCCCCGCTCCTGGACCCTGACCCTCGGTGTACCCTGCGACCCCAATCTGTCGTCGGGGCAACGCGGCGGGCGTGAGGGACGGGGGGCAGCGGGGCTCTTGGCTCACGGGAGTGGGGGGCGGCCGGGAAGCGTGGCGGCCTTGTCCTCTCCACGCCGGGGAGGTTCGTTCCCTCGGACCATCGGCCGCGCGGCGTGCCGCGCGCCGCCGACGCGTGCCGCGCGCCGCCGACGCCAGCTGGCCTGCGGGGCTGGCCTTCGAGCACTTCTTGGACGTGGTGGCGACGGAGCGGGCGGCCCAGGATCCGGGCGCGAGGCCGCGAGGCCGCGTCGCGCCCCTGTGCTGCTGCTCAGAGCAGCAGGGCGCCGCGTCCCCGGGCGTTGGCGGCGACGACGCAAGGCGGCCTGGCACGCGGCGGAGGCGCCGCCAGGCGGGCTCGCCCAGGCCAGCGGGCTCGCAGCTCGACGACGTCGGCTCCGCGACCGCGGCGCCGTGTACCCCGACGCCCATGGCGTCAGGGCCGCGCGATTCATCGCCCGTGAAGGTGTTGAGGAGGGAGGCGCCGTCGTGGCCTGACGGCTGGACCGCGCCGTGCGACGTCGAGACCCTGCTGGGGGATCTATACCCTGCTGCTGGTGGCAAGCAGGTCCGCTTCCCCGCGGTCCTCGAGAGCGGGCCGAGGCAGCAGAGGAGGACGCGGAGGATCGGCTGCACGATATCGGGGGGGGGGGTCGAACGCTCCCTCGTGCGGTGCGGGCAAGCGCTGCCGCAGACGCTGGAAGCGCAGCCGCCGCCGCCGCAGGTCGCCGAGCTCGAGGGGCAGGCGGAGGCCGTCGACGAGCAGGCGGCCGAGGGCGGGGGGGCCCCAGTGGCGGCGAGCGACATCGGGGCCGCAGCGGGCGAGCTCGCTCGGGCGCCAGACGCGCTCCGGGGGCGAGTGCGACCTGTGCGGCGATGGCGGCACGGCAGCAGAGTTCGGGTACCTCCTGGCAGCCACGAGCAGGGTCTGCAGCGGCTTCCGGCGTGCGGCGGCCGAGGAGGGCGATGCGCCGACCCCGCGCCCAGGGCGGGAGAGCCCCGCTTGCGGGGAAGACGAGCGGACCTCGGAGGCGGAACGCCTCGCCAGTGAGCTGGAGGTCCCGATGGGCCAGTGCCGCTGGAAGTGCGACAACGGAGCCACGACAGAGGATTTCGGCGAGCACCTGACGACCCCCAAAAAAAAGAAAAAAAAAGAAAAAATGAGAGAAGTGTATACAGGGCGGAAGGACAATCGTGAGCCCATGAAGTGCGCTTCTTTCTGCAGGCCACTCTGTGAGCGGAGGGCTCGTGAAGGTGTCCTCCACGAGGTGGCACGGCTGGACCTGGGGTGGCTCCACCCTTCTCCTTGCATGCTGAATGGGGATCTCTCCCCTGAACAGCTTAAATCTGCGCCTCCTCCTCCTCCTCCTCCTCCTCCTCCTCCTCCTCCACAGCCACCTTTGGCGAAGGAGTTCAAAGCATTATGGGCCACTGGTGCCCTCCCACAAGCCTCATACGGGCACCGAGCGTTCGGATTGTCACCTCGTCAACTCCAGCATCTACGGCGACAAGCTGGACAGATAGCGGCAGGCGGTCAAGGTGGCAGATGCTCGGCGACGGTACTGGCAGTCGAGGTGCGGGACAAGGAGCCTGGTATAGAGTTGCGCAAAAGAGTGGTTAGAGTGGCTTTCCACTTGGTGGTTGAATCCTCAGCTCCACCGGCGCGTCAAGCTCGCCCGGGACAAGATCAGAGCCCAGCTCATCAAGACGGGCAAGCGCAAGAGGTCTTACGTTAAAGGCCCCATCTCCATTATCCAGGCGACGCTCATGGACATCGGTCTGGTTCCAAGGAAAGCGACGGAATGGGAACGACCACTACCAGGTGGACAGCACCCCAGCGCACGCCCCTCCGCCAGCTGGCGCCGCCGGCAGCCCCCAGCCTGGCGTGCTCTGACGCCCGCAGTGCAGGCCGCCGCTGCGCGGTCCGTTGGCGCCCTCCGCGGCCGCCAGGGCATGCCATGGGCGGTTCGGCCTCCAGCGCGCAGTTTCTGGCCCTGCGCCCGAGCTCTGCGCCGCCCCCAGCCCTGGCGCGACAGCCGGGTCAGCGCAGCCCGGCGGCGCGCTGGAGCTGGCGCGCGCCACCTGGCGTTGCAGCGCGCCGCCGAGCGCCTCGCTCCCCGGGCTGCGTGTCCTCGGGGAGCTCCCGCACCTGCGCCAGCAGCCACTCCTCCTCCGCCTCCTCCTCCTCCTCCTGCCCGCCTTCATGGCCGTCCATCACCTCCTCCTCCTCCTCTTCCTCCTCCTCCTCCTCCTCCTCCTCCTCGGTCCCCGCCTCTCCCCGCCTCGGTCCCCGCCTCGGCCGGCCACGCGCTCGCTGTCCCGAGTGTGGCAGGAGGGGTAGGGGGTAGGCGGTCCACTCCCATTCCTCCCGCTGGCTCGGCTTAGCCTAACACGCGAAGTGTCCAATCCAAACCAATCCATTCCTCCTCCTCCTCGCGTCAGGGATATTCGGGTCTGAAGCACGCGGGGGGCAGCTGTCATGCCTGGGGGGGAGGACAACCAGCGGCGGCTTTCAGGTGCCAAGGCCCCCCTCCTCATCCTCCTGTTCTCTGTTCCTCCCTCGCTCTCTCGTCCTTCTTTTTGCATTGGGCGGGCACGAAGTCATGGCTTGTTGCATTCCTCGAGACATCCAAATTGAAATGCGCCGGCGTAGGCATGTGAGCACACATTAAGGCTGCTGCCAGTGCGGACTTAAGTAGCGCCTGAAAAGATTATTAACGATGAGGTGCCCATGTGGGCGCGGAGTATCTAAGCAAGCAGCCACTTGGAGCATGGGGGTACTGAACCAATACAGAGTACAAGAAACGTAACTTACTGAGGGAGGACACCGAACAAGAGAGGACGACACACGCGTACAACAAAAGTCGTAACGTAGTAAAAAGGCTTGCCAGCAACTGACCAATTGGAGTATCCCAGTGGTATGTTTCACCACATAGGTAAGCAAGGCAGCCATAGTAAAACTGACGCAGACGCAGTATGGTATCCCCCAGCCTCCCAACTCAAGACTCTGATGTCCCCTCCCATCCCTTAGGCCAAGCAGGCTGGTGCGAGAGCAGCCTTGAAGGAGTATACCAGGCTGGAACGGTCAGCGGGCTTCAAGTGAAATGGGCCTAAACTGAACGACAGTGTGGGTTTGCATTACGTCCTGCTGAGGCTATTTGGCTGGCCTGTTGGTGATAAGTTAAAGTCGGACTTTCCAGAACGTGCAAGTGCGCAAGTCGCCACTGTATTTGCACATGAAGTTTGAAACTTAAATCTGCTGAAGTACAGAAAGGGCTGGCCCAGACGGTAGTGGCTGGCCTAAGCTGCGGGCAGTGTAAAACAGAGAGAGAGAGAGAGAGAATGAGAGAGAGAGAGAGAGAGAACAAAAAGACGCCGTGCACGTCAGAGGTGCATGGGCAGGAAAAGTACGCGCCGACGCTACCGCAGCCAGGCGCGGTGAAACTATGAAGCCACCCAGCGTCGCCAGTTCCACAGGCAGGCGGTCTCTAAAATCTGTTCGTGCAAGCCCTTCTCGCCAGGAGGCTCCCAGGTGGACGACCCGGGAGAGCAACAGCAGCATGGGGCAGAGGAGGGGACGACTAAAACAACGGTATGAATAGCATCCTCGCGCCTCCACCTCTACCCTGACCGTGTCAAAACTGTAAAGCACTCTTTATCCCATAGTCTGTGAGGCTGTCGCGGTGAAACTGTCGTAGGGCTGTTTTTTGCTAGCAGTAGGCCCGCCCTTCGGTTCCTCGATGGGGACTAGCCTTCTCCGTACCATGGTCTGACGGTAGAGTGAGAATTCGTTGAGGTGGCTGGAGGTAAATGGGTATGTAGTGCGCTCGACCCTTGGGGAGCACCGTGGGTAGCCTTGCGTAAGGCTGGAGGACAACACTAGGCACAAAAGCTGGGTGCGGGTTGCGGAATAACATATAAGGCTAGCGCAAACAAAATGGTTGGCCTGTACTTGTAAGCCACTTGTGAGAGTCAGGCGTACGTACTGTGCGGACTGGGCTTAAGATATGATTGCCTTGGGCAGCTTGGCCAAACTGGGCGTCCGAGTGTGCCCCCCTCCCCATACCCGAATGCTCTCCACTGCCAACAGATCCCTCGTCCAAAGTAGTTCTACGTAGTCTTGGCCAGAGTGGCCTTGTCCTTACACGAATGGCGCCTGCAGTAGGGGAATCTGTAACAGCAGCGTGGGAGGTGTGCGAAGAAGTGAGGAACAGGCCGTGAGGCAACTGCTGGCAACAGTACCGCTGGGAAACGTGGGAATGGCAATAGGTGTAGTATGGCGTCCTCGCGAAGCCATTCCATGTGTGGTATGGGGTCCCCGGGGTGCGGGGAGGGCCCATACACACAGAGACCCATTGGGGGGTGTTGATTTGAAAGTACTGGCATGCGTGTGCAGACTCCCGCCTCCCATAGCTCACCCTGCACCGCACTAACTATGTGAATAGAGGAAGCTGGTAAGCCGTGAGGGGGGAATGAGAGCTGAGGGTCAGTAATGGAACATGCTGTGGCCACCGATGTCCTTGTGCCCCTACCCTAGGTGTGCTCCGTATGGCTTCTATGCGGGGTACGGGGCAGGTAATTCCAGGTGTGATGGCAGTGGTCATGTCTCGTCCATGTTCTTTTTGCTCCATGGTGCAAATGCGTGCTTAGGCTTGTCACTGAGTGGTACGACTGGTGCTCTTAGGAGTTTGGCCTTGTGCCGTTGCTGCACTGCTGGTTAGGGTTGACTCGTCATAGTTGTTGGCGTTGTGTACTGGGTGGTCGGCTGCTGGTATTGGGGTCGAGCCCATCTAAGCGTCTTCCATGGGTGACGGGTCGTAGGGGTAGAAGTAAGCAGTGATGGTCGCTTGCGTCTGTTGGGTGCGCTGGTTCGGTGGGATGTCCGGGAGTCATCCGTATTTAGCATGCGAAGTGCCTGGTGGTGGGCATATGGCAGGTATGCTGAGTTGTGGTGGTGGATGTGGAGGTGGAGTTAGGTCAGTTGCAGGGTATGCTGTGGCTTTTGGCTGTGCGGTGGTCTGCTCTGCACGTTCTCCTGGTGGGTGGTGTGTGGGCTCTGCTGCTGGTGGAACTTGGATGTCGATCGAGTGCTGGTGTTGGTCGGAGGGCGTCAGTAGACTGCTGCTGTCGATTGTGCATGCTAGTAGGCAGCTGCTGGTGTCGTCTTGGGTGTTCTGGGTAAGTGCATCGTATGTGCAGCTGATTCTGTTGAGTATCGCCTCGGTCCTGGGAAGCTCCTGGGGCCGTGTGCTACCCATGTTTGTACAGTAACGAATCATTGCGATACGTGCATGCGTTCAGTGGTCCAGTTGTAGTTGGTAGTATGTGTATCAGGCCGTTGGATCATGTCGTGGATCTACTGGTTGGTCAGTGCTAGGTCGGGGCGGAAGTCGGGGTCGTCGTTGTACCTGTTCTGCATCTCCTCCAGGGTGCCAGGCTGGGCATGTTCTTCTGGAAGTAGGTCGGTTTCAGTGGTGGTAGGGGTTGGTCGGCTGGCGTTGCTTTGTCGAGCGTGAGTCGGTATGTAGTAGGTTTAGCCATGCGTTCGTCGTAAGGTGTCAGCGGGCTGCATTGATTGACTGGTAGACGCAGTGGGTGTAGGAGCTTGTGGGGGTATTGTGTGTAGGCGAAGCATTGGTTGTTGACTTGGTCCAGGTGTCTGTGCCATGTGTCGATGAGGAGACGGTCGTTTGGGAAAGGGGAATGGTAAGTGTGCGTTTTGTCGTGCTCGTTGTGATAGACCGCCTAGGTATAGTCGCGATCGTCGCTGACGTAGGTTGTCCACCCTGGCGGACAATGCAAGTCATGGTGTGGGTGTGGTGGTGAGGGCTTAACCGTAGGTGGACGTCCCTCCGTGGTGTCGTCTTCTAGGTCGTACCACGGGTCTTCGTTGTCCACGTCGGTCGTGACTCCTGGTGTGGGCACCTTAGGCTGGGTGGGGCTTTGGGCTGCGGTGGCTGTCTTGGATGCTGCGTCGTATTTGGATCCTGTCGGTTTGGGCGGAAGTCGATGTACGCAGTAGAGGGGCTGGCAGGGTCGGTGGTATGTGTTTGCTGCAGCGTCTGCGCAGTGCGGCTTGGTGCTCGTATTCTGTCGGTTCTGCCTGTAGGTGGTCTTGAAAAGGGGTCTGCATGTCGTGGTAGTTCTCGTGATCCTCGCCGATGTGAGTACTTCTGTATTCTCGCAGGTGCAGCTCTCTTACATATTGTGCTGCACGTGAAGGGCAATTGACGGGGTGAGGCTGTGTCGTGATGGCAGTATTGATACCGCGGGGTGCAGGGGCTAGATGTTTCGGCTGACCGTGGGGTAGAGTGATCAGATCGTGGGCGGGCACTTTGGATTGGCGGATGTGGGGGCCTGTAGCTCGTGTCTGATCGGTTGCGTGCTGGGTGCTAGTGGTGGATGGGGTCGCCTCGTGGTGCCTCTCCATCGTTAGGCTGCTGTGTGATGCAGTCGGGGGCCTGTGCGGAGATCTACGTACGGTGGTTGCTCGTGTGTGTAAGGTGGCGTGATGGGTCGGTGGGTCCCGCCAGCGGCTGGCGTGGCCCACGGCGGGCGGAGCGTTGTGCTGCTCCTGACGCGTGTAGGGGGATCTGTCTGTAGGCTAGCCAGTGGGAGAAGCTCTGAGCACGTGTGGATGTTCTTGGTGCTGTTGGTCATCGAGCAGATGGATGGGTTGCCCGGTGAATGTGCACTTGCCGTATGCATGCCCCTGTTCTCGTCCATGGCGGTCTCGCACCGTGTGGCGATCCGCTGGCTGTAGATCTTGTAGAGGTTCTCTGTGAGGTCGCGTACGGTGACGTCGCTGTTGCAGTAGGCGTATTGAAGCCGTACCCTTTCCGCTGCGATGTCAACGGTAAGTTCGTGGCAAGGGCTGTTGATGATGGTCTGGTGGTGTAGGTTGTTGGGGTGTGATTGAAACTCCTTCTACGAATGGTTGTCCGTCCTGGCGTCTTTGCAGGGCCCTGAAGCGGGGGATGTCGTAAGGTCGGAGTGCCCAGTGGTTGCCGATGCTGCTGTGCTGCTTCCAGCGCAGGAGTGTGTCGTTACGCCGTTTGTATAGTTGCTGGGCGTACCCGTGGCTGATGTCGGCCAAGTGGGCAAGTTGGCGATAATTATGTGGCTCGGTCGGATTGTGTAGGCCCATCTTTCGTGAGTGGGCATTGGTAGGTACTCGTGGCCACCCCTCTGTGCAATGTGAACGAACCTGGTGTTCAGCTCCTCGTTCTTGACCTCGTCCAGCCTGTTTTTTTGACGTGTCCTCGTAGCGGTGCGGCAGAGTCGGGGTCGTATTGTGGGTCGGGTGTGGCAGTGCCTTGTAGTATTGGGTTCAGTGGTGTGCGTCGCTTGGTGGCAGGTAGCGGCTGTGGTTCGTCGCCTCCGTCGCTCAAGCATAGGGCAATGGGTTTTGCGGTATTGCTGTTCGGGTAACGTATTGTGACCGTAGGTTTGCTCGTTCTCGCCCTGGATGGGGTATGGCATACACACATCTAGTGCATTCAGCCAGTCGAGCCGTTGTGCACCAGCGTAGTCAGTTCAGTATTATGGATGCCGAAACGGCCGTCGTCCGCAGCAGGACTGTAAACTTGTTATGGAGTGCTGTTCATAACAGTAGGAAGCGGTAGAGCTCGACGGGATGGTCGAAGCAGCATTTGAGCATCAGGTGGCTGTGCATACACGGTGTGTCTCACCTGGGCAATCAATGTCAGGTATATTCGCAACTAGTGGGGCAACACCGCTAATATCAACCAAGTGCGTACAACATGTGATGCCACATCATTTTTTCTTGTGCCAGTAGGCATCGCAAAGTTGAGCATGCCAGCCTGCACGACTGGATGGAAGTTCTTCGCACATGGTTTTGGAAATGCCTTGTACGTTCCCCAGGTGTGCCCAGAAGGCTCCCATGTAGGGTACGGGGACTGCGTCGCAATGCCCCTCCCCTGGGTATGCCCGAAGGCTCTCGCTCACGGTATAGGGCCGGCAGTGCAGACTGGCCTAGGCAGCAGATGTCGCTTTAGGTGCTACTTGTGGTTTGCTCGTCGTAGTGTGTCGTCGTGGCTGTTGCGTTGCCGTGTGCTCTGCGTAGTGCTTCGTGTGCTGCGTCTGAGAGCCCGCTCTGAAACAGCAATGCAAGGACATAGTATGCACGTGATCAGTCTATGTTCGCTACGCAAGTAATGAAACAAATGAAGATCCTCCTCCTCCTTCTCCTCCTCCTCCTCCTCCTCCTCCTCCTCCTCCTCCTCCTCCCCCTATTCCTGTCACTATTTCGCAAACCTTGATCCTCGACTCTGGACCCTCCCCCCCCGCGTTGGGCGTCGATTCTGGACCTCGATCCTCGACTCTGGGCCTCGATTCTCTATCCTCGATCCTCGATTGATTCTCGACTCTTGGCCTCGATCGTGGATCTTGGATCCTCGATCCTTGATCAATTCTCGACTCTGGGCCTCGGTCCCCGATCTTGACCCTCGATCTTGGATCCCCGATCCTCGAGCATCAATCCTCGACCCTCGACTCTGGGCCCCGACGAGGAGGATGAGGAGGAGGAGGAGGGCCAGTGTAAACCCAAGAGTCATCAACGGTGTTGACATCCCTCCAAGCTTCCTCTTCTTAGGCCCCTACATCTTTTCATTTCCACTGAGGGAACTGCCTCGTTGTAAGACAACCGTTTCAAGACCCTGAAGCATGCCGACACATTGTTCTCGGGACTCCAACGCCACGGATCAACCTGATTGTTGCGTCTTGACGATCCTGACTCGTGCCAGAACGCCATTTCTGGGACTTCAGCACACCGAATCGATGAACTATTTCACCCTCAGAATCCTGAATCTTTCCAAAACGCCATTTCTGGTACACTGATCATGGTAATCCGTGAAACTCTTGCACATTGCAAAGTCGAATGTGCGCGGCGCTAAGGCGAGGGCCACATTTTGGAAAGGAACCGCCCTCAATCCGTGAAACCTTTGCGATTTTTTAAAGCGACTGTGCGCGGCGCTTATGCGAGAGCCACATTTTGAAACGGAACCGCCCTCAATCCGTGAAACCTCTGCAATTTGTGTAAGCGAACGTGCGCGGCGCTAAGGCGAGAGCCACATTTTGAAAGGAACCGCCCTCACTCCGTGAAACCTCTGCAATTTGTTAAAGCGAATGTGCGCGGCGTTGAGGCGAGAGCCACATATTGAAACCGATCCGCCCTCAATCCGTGAAACACTCACAATGTTCAACGAATGTGCGCCGCGCTACTGCGATAGCCACATTTTGAACACCACCCGCCCTCCGTCTGTGAAGCTGTGGCCACGATTTAAGCTTCAGAGTCATAGATGGTGAGGCAGTCTCAGGCGAAATGCCTGGCCCGCCCTAACATCTGGCCTCGGGGTGCTAAACGGATAAGTTTTTAAAAGGAGAAGGGTTGGATGATGATGATGATGCTGTTGTTGATGATGGTGATGCTGATGATGATGATGATGCTTATGATGATGATGCTTATGATGACGATGCTGATGATGGTGATGGTGATGGTGATGGTGATGATGATGATGATGATGATGATGATGATGATGATGCTTATGATGACGATGCTGATGATGGTGATGGTGATGGTGATGGTGATGATGATGATGATGATGATGATGATGATGATGATGATGGTGATGATGATGCTGATGATGCTGATGATGATGATGCTGATGCTGATGCTGATGCTGATGCTGATGATGATGATGAGGAGGAGGAGGAGGAGGAGGAGGAGGTGGAGGAGGAGGATGACGATGGAAGAAGAGGGAGTAGTAGGCGGAGGCGGAGGAGGAGGAGGAGGAGGAGGAGGAGGAGGAGGAGGACGACGAGGCCGAACCGTCTATCCTCGTTCCTCGATCCTGGGCCCTGCCGCCCTCCCAGCGCTGGGAGCCCGCCGCTCCACGCCCCTTCGGCTCGAGGCGTGGCCCGCCGACGCGCGCCCCCCACGAGCGCGGAGCCCTGCCCCCCACAGGCGCCCGAGCGCCCGCGCGCCTCGCCGCTGGGGGCACCGATGGACATCACCGTGGCGGGCGTGGAAGGGGTGCAGGCCTCCTTCGCCCCCTTTTCCTCCTCCTCCTCCTCCTCCTCCTCCTTCCTCCTTCCTCCCTCCTCCCTCCTCCTCCTCCTCCTCCTCCTCCTCCTCCTCCTCTTCCTCTTCCTCCCTCTGCCTTCTCCTTCCTCCTCCTCCTCCTCCACCTCCTCCTCCTCCTCCTCCTCTTGCTCTCCCTCCTCCCTCTTCGTCCTCTTCCTCCCTCTCCCTCTCTCCCTCCCTCCCCTTCCTCGGCACCTGCTCGTCCTCGTCCTCGGCCTCGGCCTCGGCCTCGTCGTCCTCTGCCTCCTCCGCTTCCCCCTTCGACTGGACGTGAGAGTGACCTTTCGCCCGAGTGGCCTGTGGTGCGGGCCCGATGGGGTCACCCGATCGCCGAGCGCGATGCGATGGGTGGCGAAATCCGAACCCTACCCTCGCCGATCAACGATTCAGGCAACTCGATGGGCGGCGGGGGCAGGGCTCGGAACTCATCGAACAGGTGGCGGAATCCGAGCCCTACGCCCGCCTCCCATCGCTTCTGGAGAGTCGATGTTTGCCCACGCACACAAAGCCGCACCTAGACAGCGCATGGGCACGGAAATGCTACGAACTCGCACACGCAGGAAAACCAAACCAAAACAACTACGCCATGCAGGGGGAAAGGTATGCAATCACCAGCAATCACTGATATTGGTGACCCGCTGTTCGGTACCCTGCAAGCGACAGTCTCCGTGGGGGAGTTGGGAGGGGAGGGGGCGGAGAGGAGGAAAGGGGGAAAGGAAGAATAGGGGCACAGGCAATCAACTAGAGGGCGCAGCGCTGCCTGACTGCCGCGTGCCAGTCTGAGGGATTCGGCAGCAGAGCTTGTCGAGTGCCGGGATCGTTGCCCGCCATTGCCAAGGCCTCAGCGTGTAGGTACGTCGTCCATTGTATCCGGGGGCGTCCTCTCGATCGCCGGGACTTCCAGTTTCGAGGTAAACAATAATGCGCTGGGCTAGCCTCGAACACCATGTGTCTCGGTAAACTTTCTGCGCTGTCCTGGGCCAGCTTGCCATATAGTTTCAATTGTCTCTCCAATAGAGTCGATGTCAAAGGCTGGACGCACGCGCGCTGACGTACCTCCGCGTTGCTCACGTGAGACAACCAAGCGGGGAGAATGATGAAGACTCGTCGTAGGCATCTCGCTTGGAAGCCATCTATCCGATCCCTGCCTGCTTTGAGTAGCATGCACGACTCGAGCCCGTATAACAACTTGGAGAAGACACACGAATCTAATATTTGTGTTTTCCGCTCTCTGGCCAGGTTGGCACGCTACCAAACAATACAAAGGGTTTGACCTATGCATTTTGATTCTCCCAGCCGCCGCTTAAGCTCTGCTCGTGGTCTGCCGTCTGTACTTACGAGGCCGCCCAGATAAACAGCATGTTCCTTGACCGCGATTGCTTCACCATCCGGCCCACAAATATTTCCATCAGACCGTACCCAGAGTAATAATGTTTTGTCTGAATTGAGTTCCAAGACATATTGCTTCCCAATTTCTACCACCAGGCTTAGATGCGCCTGAAGCGTGCTAGAGTCAATGGCCACGAGCATCGTGTCGTCTGCGTACAGCGAATCATGCGTAACCACATATGGTTTGGACGGGTTTGGACGGTCTTCCAGGTCGTTCCGAATTTCGACGTCTGTCTACAGTCTCTAACAGAACTGACATAACAATAATGAACAATTAAGGATACAGCGGACAACCTTGCGCAATGCCAGCGAATTGTGTCCATGTGGAAGACGTCGCGTTGTGGTCTGAAGCCGTATTGAGATTCACGCAATGTTTTTTCAGCTCTTCCACGTTTTAAGCCGTTGTAACAAGATGCTCGCTCATATCTTATAACCAACTGCTAATAAAGATATTGGCCGGTAGTTCGAAGGCAGAGAGGTGTTTCCTTTCTTGAAGGTGGTTACAACCGATGCTTGTCTCCACTCTTCGGGGATGTCTCTCTCTTTTTCCCAGCACGCATTGCATAAAGACGGCAATATCTCGAGCACGCCACTGCTTTCTAATAGTGATTTCCATAGTTTCGGTGGCAACCCGTCGGTTCCTGCAGCTCGCTGTATTCGAAGATGTTTGACTGCTTGTCTCGTCTCTTCTAGTTGGATCTGGCCGGCGTCGATACGCAACTGTGCTCGTTTGTTGTATGGTTGCGGCTGCGGATCATCTTCTTGAGGTGGTCGCCATTGTACTGTCGTCAAACATGTTGCCATAGTTTCAGCCCTTTCCGCAGAATCCACCAAATTCCCTTTGTATTTCTGAGTCGCCCACATTTGTGCGAAGCAGATTTGCGTAATTGCTTTATCGTTCCCATCCGTTCGTCTGAATGCTTTGTATGAGCCAGTGCTGCTTGTCTGCTTTCGCGGACTGCTTGATCGCTTTGTTCAGGGTCTTGGTGTCGGTACCGCCCTGTCGTGAATTGTTGCGCTCCTCGACGAGGTCCAAAGTACGTTTGGATATCCGTGGGCGTTTTCTTCTTGCCTCCCGGCGAGGGAGGGATGCGGCCGCAGAGTGTAGCATACATTGTGAAACTGCGATGGGCTTCTCGCTCAAGGACTCGTGCTGTGGTCGTTTCCTCCATGTTTCCACAGAAAGCTGTATGCATTTCTGTTTGGCGACCGGCTCCCTGAGCAAGCTGACGTCCAATTTGGATTCAGTACGCGCCCGGCCTTTCTTGGGAATGTCGATATCCAAGTCAACCATTTGAAGAAATTTATGTGATTGCAGATGTCGTCGCCGATCGCTCCAAACTGCAGTAATGGCGGATAGCCGCTCTGCAGGCACGACCACGTGATCCAGCTGCTCAAAACCTCCTGGTTCAATACGCTCAGAAGGTTGTATTCCAATGTTGTGGTACGTTATGGTATGCTCATCGCTTGTCTTCAAGGTATTCGCGACACATGCTTCGAACGTGCGGAATAGTTCTATAAGAAGTTCCCTGTTCGATGTAGGCGTCCAGACCGACACGGGGTTATGAAACACATGTTCTCCGAGAACTGCTTCTTCTCCACCGTACCTGTCCAGTAACCGAGCGTTGAAGTCACCTCATATGATGGTGGGTCAGTGCGACCAGCACGCCGAAGCAAATGCAGCAAGATTTGTATAGTAATCGCGACGAGTATCATAATCGTGCTCGTTTGTCCAAGCGTAAGCTGAGATTACTGTCAAGATACCCCCAGCAACTCGTATCCGTAAACTTGCCATGCGACTACTTCTTTGGATGTATCCTTGGATCGCATGTTTAGTCCAAGGCGCCTCTATAAACCCCACGCCCGCATACTCCCTGTTTGTGCTCTCATGCCCAGAAATGTACACGAGAAGCCCTCGAATTCGAAGACGGGTGACCCAAGGCAGTGCGTCTCTTGGAGACAAAGCACTGCGATGTCGAGGTCCCGCATGTGCTTGGTGAGTTCGTGCAGCTTGCACGGCAGGTCCACGTTGATGCTTTCAACATTCCACGAGGCGATCCTGCCGCACAGAAATGGAAAACATGGGAATACAATACATTTTCCAATTTTTGGTGTCGTTGTAGTAGCAATGCGCCGTATTTCCTAATGTCCTGCTCTCTTTCCTCCTTTCTTACCTTTCCCACTCCCTTTCCCAACCCGGCTGAGCGCCTCGTTGGCCTTGGAGACGAGGTGCTGCAGCTCCGGGCTGTTGATGAGGTCGCCCCATGTGCCCCACGCGCCGTACCAGCAGAGCTGGAGCTGGTCATTGGAGACCGTGGCCTGTACAATTGGTTCTGAGGCTGCCTTGAAGATTTGGTTCTGCATATCCACGCGGATCTCTTCCCTGGTGTAGTTCCACTCGAGGAAGACGTTCCGAAGACCAAATAAGAGCGACTCCGGCACGCGTTCTTCAATAGGCAGGTCGGGGCGAGTCCACATTGCATTCCCTTGATGCTTGATTTGCGCCTTACCGAAAACACTGACAAATTGACCCCTGGATGCAGCATTCTCGAGTTTGATGAAAATCATATTGTTGAAGTCGCCTTTCGTGAAGATGTCGGCGTATTCTGGTGTTTTTAAGCGGTCGAACTGATGTTTGAGAAAGGTGACGGCTGCATCCATATCTTCAATATTTCCCATGTTTGCGATAACTGCATTCGCATCCAAGTCTCGGTTCGTAAGTTCTGAAAGCTCGTGCTCCACTTCCAACAATTTGGTTTCAATGTCCGTAGTGGTACTTTGACTTGATCGTGCCGATGGTAAACCTGAGCTTTTATGTTCAAATGCGTCCAAACGAACCCGTCACGCAGCAACATCGTGTTTAATAGGGTCCACCGTATTCTTCAAATCTGCCTGGGATACCCCATGCAGTTTGATTAATCTGATGTCGTTCTGGATAGGTTGTAGTTGCTCACGAAGTATATCTTTGAATTGTCCCACAGGGAGCCCCTCGGTACTCGAGAAGTCTGGCTGCCGGAAGGTGTTCCCGAGCCGCTTGTCCTCCCCGTCGTCGACTACGTCATCGTCCATCTCTTGCAGGGGGATCCTGAGGCGGGCCCGCTTGTCGATGGGAGTGGCGAGGGGCACTACGGCCGGCGCTGCACCAGGTGAGGTCCCACCTCATATTCCACGCACCGGAGTGCCACGCTGTCGAGAGTTCATCGGCATAGGGTAGTCGGTCAAGAAAGAAAGAAAGATATGCAGTAGACCCCTGGCGTGATGGCAGCTTCTGAGCCTGGACGGCTTGAGCTCCCGGCCCATCCTGCCACCGTGTCCGGGCTGTCGTTCAGAGGTCATTTGGATGCAGTAGGGGGCCTTTTGTCAGCTAGACGTAAGAGTGACCTTTCGCCAGAGTGACCCTTGTTGCGGGCCCAATGGGGTCCCCCGATCGCTGAGCGCGAAGCGATAGCAGCGGCTTGCACGCCCAGTTTTGACCACCCCGCGTCCCCCGTTAAGCCGCGCACCAAAGGTCGCTCTTGCCTTGGGAGCCAATGCTTCGCCCCCTCCCCCGCCACCTGCTCGTCCTCCTCGTCCTCGGCCTCGGCCTCGTCGTCGTCGTCGTCGTCGTCCTCCTCCTCCTCGTTCTCCCCCTCCTCCGCCTCCACCCTCCTTCCTCCTCCTCCCCCTCCTCCTCCTCCTCCTCCTCCTCCTCCTCCTCCTCCTGCTCTTCCTCCTCCTTCTCCTCTCTTCCTCCTCCTCCTCCTCCCGCCGCCTCCCCCTCCTCCTGTTTCTCCTCCCTCTCCTCCTCCCTTCCTCGGTCTCGGCCTGGAGGCACCCGAGTGGGCCCCTATCCCGACCACCCGATCCCCCTCCTCCCTCCCTCCTCCTTTTTTCTCATTCTTTTTCCTTCTCACTCTTCCCTCTCTCTCTCTCTCCCTCCCTCTCCTCCCTCTCTCCTTCTCCTTCTCCTTCTCCTTCTCCTTCTCCTTCTCCTTCTCCTTCTCCTTCTCCTTCACCTTCACCTTCTCCTCCCTCCCTCCCCCCTGGGGTCTGAGCCCCCCCCGCCCGTTAAGGCGCTCGCGCAACCGCCTGAGGCAAGGAGCGGGGAAACAGATGGGGAGAAGATGGGGACTGGCAGAAGCGAAGCCAGAACGAGACAGCCAGGGCGCTAACGGATTAGAATGATGATGTTGATGATGATGCTGATGATGATGTTGCTGCTGCTGATGATGATGATGATAGTGATGATGATGCTGATTATGATGATGACGATGATGATGACGATGATGATGGTGGTGGTGATGATAATGATGACGATCCAGCTGCTGATGATGAGGATGATGATGATGCTGATGATGCAGATGATGGTGGTGATGTTGATGCTGATCTTGATGACGATGAGGATGATGAGGATGGAGATGAGGATGATGATGAGGTGGATGAGGATGAAGGTGAGGATGAGGTGAGCATGATGATCAGGATGACGACGATGATGCTGCTGCTGATGATGATGAGGATGATGAGGATGATGATGATGCTGACAATGATGATGATGCTGATGCTGATTAGGATGATGGTGATGATGATGAGGAGGATGAGGAGTATGAGGATGTGGGCGATGACGGTAATGATGATGACGATGATGACGATGATGATGAGGATGATGAGGATGATGATGATAATGATAATGATGACGATGAACTTGAGGATGAGGATGATGTTGATGATGCTGCTGACGATGATGATGCTGCTCATACTGATGATGACACTGATTGTGATGATGATGAGGATGAATATGCTGCTGTTGCTGATGATGCTGTTTCGGATGATGATGATGCTTATTCTGATGATGCTGATGATGAGTATGAGGATGATGATACGGCTGATGATGACGATGATGCTGATGATGATGATGTTGCTGATGAGGATGATTCTGATGATGCTGATGCTGATGATGATGATGCTGCTGTTTATGCTGTTTGTGATTATGATGCTGATGATGATGCTTCTGGTGATGATGATACTGATGATGATGAGTATTTTGATGCTGATGATGGTGATGCTGATGATGCTGCTGATGATGGTGATTCTGCTTATGCGGAGGAGAATGAAGAGGATGAGGCTGAGGATGAGGATGATACTGAGGATGATAATGAGGATGAGGATGAGGATGAGGACGATGATGATGATGATGATGATGATGATGATGATGGTGATGCTGCTGCTGATGATGATGATGACGATGATGTTGATGTTGATGATGATGATGATGATGATGCTGGCGATGATGCTGATGATGATTATGCTGATGATGATGATGACGATGATGATGACCGATGATGCTGCTGCTGCTGATGATGATGATGATGGGTTTCCACTGAGGGAAGTGCCCCGTTGGGAGGCAACCGTTAGAAGACCCTGGAACGTGCCAAAACATTATTCTCGGGACCCCAACGCCACGAGTCAACTTAGCTGTTGGGTCTTGACGATCCTGATTCGTGCCATAACGCACTTCCTGGGATTTCACCATCGCGAATCAACGTAGGTCTTGCGCCATGGCAATTCTGAATCGTTCGAAAAGACCATGGGAATCCGTGACACCCTTGCAATTGTTTAACGAATGTGCGCGGCGCTACGGCGAGAGCCACATTTTGAAAAGGAACCGCCCTCAATCCGTGAAACCCTTGCCAATTAAGACGAGTGTGTGCGGCGCCAGGGCGAGAGCCACATTTTGAAAACGACCCGCCCTCAACCCGTGAGACTGCTGCAATTTTTCAAGACGAGTGTGCGCGGCGCTAAGACGAGAGCTACATTTTGAAAACCATCCGCTTTCAATCCGTCAAAATCTTTCACATTCTTAAGACAAGTGTGCGCGGCGCTAAGGGTAGCACGCGGGGAATCTTTTTTTTTTGTGTGTGTGTGTGTGTTTGTGTGTGTGTGTGTGTGTGTGTGTGTGTGTGTGTGTGTGTGTGTGTGTGTGTGTGTGTGTGTGTGTGTGTGTGTGGGTGGGGGTGGGGGGGGAGGGGCGATTTGGAACCTTGTCAGAGTGGTGCCCTCAATGAGGTTCAAACAGATTTGGGCTCCTGTTTTTGGGGGGAATCGTCTTGTGCCCTCCCCAGCTCTTCACGGCTCTCCAGCCCTCTCTGGCTCTTTTTCCAGCTCCTGGACGGTCGGGTGTGGGCCTGCCGCGGCAAGGACGGGCAACGGAGCATGAGGCTTCAATCCCCGATGGCCGCGCCCTCTTCCTTCCTCCCTCCTGCTCCCCTGCGCGGACGACCTGTATGCACCGTACCGCGTTGGCGTCTCCCGAGGCTTCCTCGATCCTCCACCCAGGAATGGTACGGTGCATAGTTTTTAGGCCCTCAGAGCTGGAGGAAGGTTGCACCGTACCGCGTTGGAGCGAGGTCTGATGGAAGTCCAACCACGGCACGGTGCACTAGCGCCGTGCTCGTATCCTCGAGGTGTGGGGACGCGGGCCCCCCCCCTGCACCCGCCGCGGTGGGGTCTCGCGCGCCGCGGCCGCAGGCCAACACCTTCCTCTCGGTGCGCTGCGGCAGCCAGCGCAAGCAGGCGCCCGTCCGCCTTCTCCGCCGCCCAGCCCGGGCCCAGAGAGAGAGTCCTCCTTCTGGTCGTCGTCCTCGTCTTCCTCCTCGTGCTCTCCCTCGATGGGCGCTGGGCGCTGACGGTATGAGAGTCCTCTGGGCGCTGCCCCCCCCCCCCCCCGCCCCACCGTCTGGTGTGCGAGGGGGGACCTTCAGGCACGGCCGTTGGTGGGGCCGGCGAGCGGGACGAGGAGGAGACGACACGACCAGGGACCGAAAAGGGAGGCGAACCGAGGGACCGAGCGAACGAGGGAGGGACAAGAGAGATGCGACGGAGGGCCGCGGTCCCCGCGGCGCGCGGGCCCCCCAGGGTGGACCACCAAAGGGGGGTTGGGGGCGGGCAGGCCGAGGGGCCGAAGGGGGGGGAACCAGTAGGTGGTCCGCCGAGGGGGGTCTAAGTGGCCCCCCCTGCCCCGCTGCACCATGCTCACGTAAAACCACCTCCTCCTCCCCTCCCCGCCGGCCCCTTCAGGGCCACGAAACTTGAACGGTACGTATTCTTGTCCTGTTTGTCTCACCCCATCCGTGCCTGTGCCACAGCTGTCCTTTCCACGCTGCCGTTTCCAGCCAGATCCGTGCCCAGTGCCCGCTGTTAGATTCGCTGTTCACTTTACAATCCGCTCTTCAGAGCCGATCCATTTTTCCAGTTGGTTGCGGAGCATCATGGTCCGTTGCCACGGCTTTGCTATGTCCCGCCGCGTTTCGACAGCATCGGCTCCAACCTGCCGCCGCTGTTCATCCCGCTGTCAATCCGCTTTTGGTTTCGCCTTCGTGCACCTATTCCCGATCACCATGGCAGGATACGCTACTGTCGGGTCCGTCGAGGCAACAGCCCATCCGCCAGGACTGGTGACGGGGAGGGCGCACATCTACTGCAACAGATACATCAACAGGACCTTCAAGGATGCCGACCGCGCCGCCGCCTACGACGACGACGAACTTCGTGGCTTGCCGGAGCCCCCAGCGATCTCTCCCAGGCCGGGCCAGTGTCAGCGCAGCTCGCGGACCCTGCGCCTTGAATGCGCCCGGTTGTGGGTGTAGCCGCAAATGCCAGACAGTTGCTCGACGCAACATTCACATCTATGGTGTCGGCTAAGGATCCCGAGCTTCTAGCTACTGTGTCACGAGAGCCCTGGAGGAGCAGGCAAATAAGAGCAGGGGGGCAGTGGGGTCTGGTGACTGTGTCCCCAGCACTCCGAGGGGCAGCGAAGCGGATCTGGGATAACGAGAGTTCAGCGCAGCCAGCGCGCAACTCACCGACCCTCCCGCGCCGCTGACCGTCTTCGATCTCTTGGTGCATGACCTTCTCGTCTTGCCCGTGCATCCTCAGCAGCCTGGCAGGGCTCGGTCCCGATGCGCGCTCCTCCTGACGATCGTGCATTTGGCGGTGTTCAGTACAGTGACAGCGCGTGCGAGGAGCACGCCCCCGACTGTGTCACGGGATGCTCCGAGTTCCGAGAGCGCGACGATCGCGCGACAGAAGCAGGCGCCCAATGCGCAGGCGAGGAGGAACGCATCCGGGGCAAGCATCCACGTCGGCCTCGAGGCGCACTGCCAGTGCAGCGCCGCTGGTGGATCCCCGGCCTCCAGCGCCTCCACGACGCGTGGAGAGGAATGCATTCTGGATGGATGGCCATGGGAGTGGTCATGGGTCATGGTTGCCATCGCCAGCTGCATCGCTTGCATGGGCGCAGGCGGCGTCGGTGGCAGCGCGCGACGCCTCTGCGCTTTGGGGCCGAGCTGCGAGCTCGCATCGTTTAGATTATCATGGGGGACACGCCATTGCTGGTGGCAGGTGCCGGACAGGACCTCGACGGATCGTTCGATGACTGTGTCATCGACCTTCCCGAAGGCGCCGCCAGCGCAGCCGAGGGTGGTTCACCGTCGGCCCTGTCGGCTATGCCCGAGGAGACCAAGAGTGACCTCTCCGGCCGCATCCAACAGGTGATGTTAGCAGCCTGGTGTGAAGTCGCAGGGGCGGAGTGCTTGGCCCAGGAGCTCGAAGAACTGGGGCGCCGACAGACAGCGCGATATCAACGCGACGGTTGAATGCGCCGCGGCCGGCCTTGGCTGCAGGCCCTGGTAGTGGCGCCGGCGCCTCGGGGCGCGGCGCCAGCGTCGGGGCGTCCGCGCGCGGCGCCATTGCCGCCAGCGCGGGGCCTCCTTGGGCGACTGCACCACGCTAGTGGGTGCGAAGGAGGAAGGCGCGAGGAGTTGTATCTTGATCCAGGGGTGCGCGACGCATTCTTTAGCACTTGAGCTTCGACGAGGAAGCGTCTGGCAGTCTGGCGGCTGTGTCGCCGGCGCTCCCCGCAGAGCCGTGCTGGACATTATGCAGTCGTTGAGGCCGCTGTCACTGGGTGCGACTCGCGACGCCGACTTACTTGTCGAGGAAGGAGTGTCGAGGCTGTCGAAGGAGGTCGCAGCGGCCATCGTCGAAGAGCTCACCGCTGGGTCAAGTGCAAATGTTTCGACGGGCGACCGCTCGTAGGCGCTCGGAACGCGATGGGCTCCATGCGCGTCTTCAAGTGAATGTGCCAGGAGGGATTCGACGGCGCGATTGTCCGGGTCATCCGGTTTCGCGTGGCGCAGAGGGGCTTCCGCGACGCGAGCGCGGGGGCCCTTGGGATTTTCGCTCGGGCAGCGAAGCGGGCGTCGCAGCGCCGGCTGTCCCTGGGGGCGGCTCGTCGCCCAGACTGGGTGCGCGTCGCTGTGGGCGCCGAGGCGGCGTTCCTGCCGGTCGTGACCTGCGCCGACGTGCAGGAAAACGGCGAGGCATCCCGCGGGGTGAACTTTCCCCGGCCGCCTGGCAGTGCAGCCGTCCTCCGGCGGGTGCCCGGCTACGAGAGCTACGGCGACCAGACTGAGGGCTTGCGCTCCATCAAGCCGTGCGCGGGCTACAAGGGTGTGCCCCGAGCCTTCTCCGCAAAGCTGGCCCGGGCCGCGCGCTCGCCGGAGTGGGTCGAGCGCGAGACGCCGGCTGCCTGTGGCGCCGGCGCCTCGGAGCTATTGCTCGCGTTTTCCAAGCATGTCGACGCCCTGAAGATAGGGGCGCATCGACAGGCAAATCAGCCGCGTCGAGAGCGTGTTCGGCCAAATGACGCGTTATTATGGTGATTTCATCTTCTGCGGAATGCGCCGGCGCCGCAGTGCCGACGGCGCCGTGGTGCTCGACCAGGGCGAATATATCGAAGCCTTGACGCCGTTCAGACATGTCGACCTGGCCAAGGCAAAGGCTGATGAGCCGGCCGGATATCAGCCTCCAGACCCTTTTGTCTCCTTCCTGGGGGCAGCGACGTACGCCCGGCCCACCCAGTGCCACGTTTCCGCGTGCGTCGTCGCTATGCAATGAGCCAAGTACAAGCTGCCCATCCGACGCGTGATGCAGCTGAACTAAGTTGTTCTGGCCATGCAGAAGATAGGGCGCGCATCGCGTTTCCGCCGATGCACTTTACGGCGCGAGAAGAGCCGTGTACATTCGTCTCGGCAAGTGCCGCCGCGCCGGCAAACAGGTGTGCCGCTTGTTGGGCGCAGTGAGCCGATCGCATATTCTGGTTTGCAGATCTTCGTTCGGCTCCGAGCTGCTCTCAGCATGCGGCGCAGCCGGAGGGTGCGCGAACCCTGCAGATCTCGTCGTCGACGGCATGTTCGGCGTCGGCGGCCTGCTCGCGGACCTGGCGCGGCCGCCCTCAGGACAGCATGGCAGGCCACCTGTAGGGGTTAGCTGACTAGCTGGGCGCCCTGCGAATCGAGGATTTATTCTGGTGCGATGCTCGGGATATGCGGGCCGACCCCATGACCGAGGGCAACGCTGGCAGGGCGCTCATCCTCGGTGTGATGAGCGGCCAGAAGCTATGACTATGATGCGGTCAAGTTCAGCGACGAGAAGAGGAAGAAGGCCGTTCCGAGCTCCCACCACAGTTCCCTCACCCAGTGGTGAAGGGGCGACTCGTGTGGCTGTACCATAAGGTCGAGCACCGTAGCTCCGCTCGTCAGGATGCAGGTCGACCTGCCCAGCAGCCGCGAGATCGTCAAGTTTTGCGGGCAATCGCGGTCAACAGCTACGAGGAAGCTGAACATTCACTGGGGTGCTGCTGCAGCTGACTGTCAGCCAAGCAGCGGTCAGTCAGCAGAGCGCTCATCGCAGGCGTGTTTCGCGAGTGCGGTCAGTAGAGCGCTCTGTTAGCAGCATTGTGACATTGGCGAGGTCACGGCGGACTTGTTTGGGCGCCAGAATCGAACGGTGCGTCTTCTTGCCCACCTTGGCTGCCTGTGTCATTGCTGTCTTTCTCCCGCTGCCGTTTCCAGGTGGATCCGTGTCCCGTGCCTGCTGTTAGACTCGCTGTTCACTTCACATTCCGCTCTTCAGAAGACCTTTTTTTGCACATCTTTACTCGCATCCATGTCTCTAGTACGCAATCGAAGATGGTTCTCTGGTCGACGAACCTGTATTCATGGTGCGGGGTCTTGCTGAGGTGGGCTTCGGCGCTCCCCAAAAAGGTTTTGGTGTCGGCGTGGTGTTGGGCGTCGTGGATGTGGGCGTGGGGGTGGGCGTGGAGGTCGTCAGGGGAAGGTGTGGTGGTGTCCTGGAGGTTGGCGTCGGCGTTCCCCGAGGGTGTGTGTCGTTGTCTCGTGGCGTTGGTGCTGGGCGTGAGGGCGCTGCCGGGCATGCCGCGCAGCCCTTGCAGCGCCGTGGGGCCCGTCACTGTGCGAGCGGCCTTATCCTCGCTTCGGGGGGCCGTGGGCCGCGCGGCCCGAGGACGAGGGCGGGTGGGGATGGAGCTGGTGTTGGTTGCTGGTCGCCGCCCAGGCCATTCACCTCGTGGTCCCCGCCTTGGTGGCAGTGCTGCTAGTTGCAGTCGTGACGCTGCTGCCGGTAGGGGTCGCACAGCACGGGGTGCTGCTGCTGGTCGTTGGGTGGGGCGTTTGGCAGGGGGCGGAGTGGGGGGCCGTTTGGGCGCGGCTGTC